TGCTCCCCGTGCTGGGGACACTGAGGCACAGGGACACTGGGGGTGCTGGGGTGGCCGAGCCAGTGACGTCCCAGCATTCAGTGGCTCTGTCATGTCCCCACAGGCTCAGCGGCTTGTCCCCCTTCCAGGGTGAGACGGATGCTGAGACCCTCTCCAACGTCGTGGCTGGTGCCTACGAGTTCGAGGAGCGCTGCTTCAGCCAGACCTCTGAGATGGCCAAGGACTTCATCCAGCAGCTGCTGGTGAAGGACCCAGAGTAAGGCCCCAGCCCAGCCCACTAGGTCTACCTCCATCTCCTCCCATCCCCATCCCCATGGCCATCCCCATCTCCATCATCCCCATCCCCATTCCATCTCCACTGCCATCCCCATCCAATCATCTCTGTCTCCACCTCCTTCTCATTTCCATCCCCACCTCCACCTCTGTCATCCCCCCTCAATTCCTTCCCCATCCCCATCTCCATCCCATCCCCATCTCCATCCCATCCCCATCCCCATTTCCCTCCCACCCCATCTCCACTTCCATCATCCCCATCTCCACCTCCATCCCCATGTCCACCACCTCCATCCCCATTTCCACCCCCCCTTCCCCATCTCCATCATCCCCATCCCCTGGTGGATGGGTGGGGCAGGGACCACCCCACCCCATCCCTGCCCCTGTGTGCAGGCACCGCATGACGGCGGCCGAGTGCCTGGTGCACCCCTGGATCAAGGTGAGAGGGACAGGCAGGGGGTGGGTGCCAGACCCCTGGAATGCAGGTGGGGACGCGGTGACGGCGCCGTGTCCTCGCCCCCACAGCCCCTGAGCAGGAAGCAGGTGCTGAGCCGGAGTCGTTCCTCCATCAACATGAGAAACTTCCGCAAGTTCAACGCTCGGAGGAAGTGGAAGGTGAGGAAGTGGAAGGTGAGGGGGTTCCCGGCCCTGGGGGTCCCACCACCCCTGAGGCCCCCGGGGAGCTCGGGCTGGGCTGCATCCCAAGGCTGGCTCCCTCTCGGGGGTCTGCAATGTGGAGGTGTAATGCTGGGGGGAGGGCAGAGCTGGGGAGGGACCCCCACCTTGGCCCCCCTTCCCTCCTGCCCCCCAGCTCTCCTACAACATGGTGTCCGCCTGCAACCGGCTGTGCCGCACGCGGCTGCTCTGCGGCCTGAGCAAGGAGGATGAGGAGCTGGTGAGCACCCAGGAGCCCCCCAGAGCCCACCCAGCACGGGCTGGGGAGAGGGAGAAGGGACCTGGGAGGCCTGACCCCCCCAAATGGAGGGGGTGCTGTGCAGTGGCTGTGCAAAGGGAGTTATCTCCACCTGGGGTGCCCTCTCCTCTGGGGGGTTCCCTCCCCGGGGGGAGTCCTGTCCCTGCCCTCCAGCCCCCCCTGTGCCCCCAGCGCTGCTGTGAGAGCGACCAGGAGGAGGAGAGCAGCCCCCCCATCGCGCTGCTGCGCCGGCGGAGAAGCAGCTCCTGAGCCCCCCTGAAAGAAAACAGGAGCCCCCCTGGGAGGAGCCTTGGGGGTCCCCTCATCTCCTCAGCCCAGGAGGCAGGACCACTGTCTGGCCCCAGTGCTCCCAGTTGCCCTCTGTGTCGGGGGGTCACTGGGACAGCAGCACCCCCCTCCTGACCCCCCGGTGTTGCTGCCCCAGGGCCGGGACCCCCCTCCCTGCTTTGCCCTAGTGAGAAAAATAAATGTCGCTCCCTCCTCCATCCTCCTCCCCTGCGTCTCCTTCCCCTCAAGGTTGGGTCGTCACAACCAGCTGGTGCCGAGTGCCCGCAGCTTCCTCCTCCTCCTCCTCCT